CTTAGTGGGGAGTCGAGTTAGTGCCCAGACAGGTGGGTGAGTTATTTATAGCACTGAAGGAGACAGGTGGGCTCCATAAACAGTCTCTCTCTCATTTGTGGAAGATATCAACATGAACATGCTGCTGAACATGGGTGACATGCCCAATATCTTCCCAGCTAATGAGAAGGCTGAGCTCGTGGAAAAGACGCAAACAGCAGCCAGGACAGGGTACAAGAAGATCGAAGTCACCCCGTTTTCCACGTACAACTTCTTTATTGAGAGTAAGAAAGAATCTTCACATTGTGCTTGGTGAGAAGAAGCAAACTCTTCCCTTTCCCTCTGGAAGTTTTAGGGTCTTCTCAGTATCCTAAGCCCAGCCTCCTCCAGAGGTCCCAACATTGCTCCAATCAAAGCATCCACCAAGGCTCACTCTGGACTTTCTCTGACATCTTCTCTCACTCTTCTCTTCAACAACTAGAATCTCTCTACTTCTCCAAATTGAAAAAGAGCACATCTTGCTATATTACCCTGCACAGAACACATGGTGTTTTCTGTGACTGATATCCCCAATCTGTCCATAAACCTGTTAATAGTTCTCTCTGACTTACCCGATCTCCCTCCCACTGCCCCCATGCTCGCTAAGCCACTGCTGTCTCACTCAGATCTCAGCTCTGCACCACCCCAACTGCTCAGTCTCTGCTCTTGTTTACTCCACACTTTGCAGATCCATTAATCCAGGGTTCTTTTCATGTATTACAAATATGATCATATAGACATACATATTAAATAATTAAATTGTTGCTGGGTGTGGTGGTGCACATGTTTAGTCCCAGCACTCAGGAGGCAGAGGCGGGCGGATCTCTATGAGTTCCAGGCCAGCCTGGTCTACATAGTGAGTTTCAGGCCAGCTGGGTCTACAGGGAAACTGTCTCAAAAAGACAAGAAAATAAAAAAATAAAAATAAATAAAGCCCGGCATGGTGGTGCACGCCTTTAATCCCAGCACTCGGGAGGCAGAAGCAGGCGGATATCTGTGAGTTTAAGGCCAGCCTGGTCTACATAGTGAGTTCCAGGATAGCTGATAGCTGAGGGAGACCCTGTCTCAATAAATAATAAATAAATAAATAATAAAATAAATAAAATCATTAAATTGTTTTCCATTAGGATAAGGACCACAGGAACAAAATTTCTAGCCCGTGTCTTACAAGACCACCTACTACGCTATCCCCTTTTAAAAAGCAAGGCCAGGACCTAGAGAGATAGCTCAGCGGTTAAGAGCACTGGCTGTTCTTCAAAAGGACCCAGGTTCAGTTCCTAGCAGCCACATGGCAGCTAACAAACATCTGTAACTCCGATTCCAAGGGATCTGACACCCTCTTCTGACCTCCATGGGCATTACATGATACAGGTGCACTTAGAAACATGCAGGCAATACACTCATACACATAAAATAAAAGTAATTTTTTTTTAAAGCAAGGCCATATCTTTTACATCTAGAGAATACTGGGACCCCAGCATAAGGGCCACAGAACCTGGCGGAGCTTTAGTTGTTGTGAGACCCAGTGTTGTGAAGATGAATGAGGTATTTTACAAAAGTATGACACATAGAAAGCTCTCAGTACACTTTTGCTTTCAAATTTAAACATGTTTTTGGCAGGTATGGATTTGCTGTGCTATGCCAGGACAATAGAAGACACAGAAAATGTCTCAGCAGTCAGTTACTCTGGGGTCTCAGCTTTCCTAGGAGGGAGAAGTTGTCAGTCTATGTTACCATAACGAAATACCTGGCTTGGTAATGTATAAAGACCTAGGTTTACTTAGCTCAGAGTTCGGGAAGTCCAAGAACATGATACCAACATCTGCTTGGCTTCTGAAAAGGGACACAAGATGTTCCACACACAGGAGAAAAGTGGGAGGTGAAGCTGTTACCAATCAACCTGGGATTCTTTTGCTCAATTTGAGGCTGAAATCTAGAAGAGGCAAATACTAAACGAAGCTATCCTGGGCTTCTGCTGGCACATACGGGAGACAGTGGCAGGACAGAGCTCCTGGTCTGGTTTGCTCCACTAGGAGGAGGAGTACTTATCATCACCACCACAGGGGAAGTTGCAGCCTCACATCCTGTGCAGAAAGCTTTGGAAGAAGTGGGTGGCACAAATAGAGCCATCCTAGGATATACATCCTACAAAATCCTGCTTGCTTCTTATTAAAGAATGCAGCATGGTTGGTAAATCAGGCCATTCCTATCCTGTCTCCAAGCAGGTTGTGTGCTAAAACCAGCAAGATGGCTGGGGAAATGGCTCAGAGGCTAAGGTGCTTGCCACGCAATGGGAACCAATTTCAGATCTCCAGAATGCACATAAATGCTGAGTGGGCATGGCAATCTGCCGTAATCCCTGCACTCGGGAAGCAGAGAGAGGGATCCCAGAGCGAGCTGGCTAAATAAACTAGCCAAATCGGCAACCTCCAGTTCTGGGTTCAGCAAGAGCCCATCTCAGTTCATAAATCAGAGGGCAATCAAAGATGACATCTGACATCAACATCTGGTCTCTGCACAAATGCACACTCATGCATCCACACACAGCCACACATGCACCCTCACATACAAACATACATGCACAAAAGAAGCAAGAGAAAGCCAAGGAAGCAAACTCACTTTATTAGAGATACTTTCTCAATAACTAATAACTTTTTAAAAATAAAGTTGTTACATCTTAGTGTGTGTGTGCGTGTACGTGCATGTGTGTGTGCACACAAACACAAAAGCACATATTTATGCTTATGGAGTTCAGAAAATACTTTTCCAAAGTCAGTTCTTTCCTTCTACCATATGTGTCCCAGGGATTGAACTCAGATTGACAACCTTCACAAGTGCCTGTACCTGCTGAGCCATCTTACTGGCCCAGTAGTTAACCACTCATAATCATCCCACTCTGGAACCCAGAGATTATATAAGTATATGAATACATTTATGACCTATGAAACATATTATGACAATAAACATTTTACACTATTTGAATATCTTACTCCCACAGTGATTTGCTATGCAATAGTTTTCAAGCATTACTCCTTGCATCATTATTATGGATCAGTTATTTTATTTTTAATTACTTACATAAATATTTGTCAAGGCAGTAAAATGAAAAATAATTGCAAGCTTAAAAATGTAAAAACTGTGAGCTGGGCATGGTGGTACATGCCTGTAGTCCCAGCACTTGGGAAGTAGAGGCAGGCGGATCTCCATGAGTTCAAGGCCAGCCTGGTCTACATAGTGAGTTCCAGGACAGCTGGGGCTACAGGGAGACCCTGCTTCAAAAAGACAAAAAAAAAGTGAAAACTGGGGCTGAAGAGATGGCTCAATGGTTAGGATCCTTGCAGAGGATCCAGGTTTGATTCCCAGCACCTACAGGGCAGCTAACAACCATCTATAACTCCAGTTCCAGGGTAATCTGACACACTCTTCTGACCTCCATGGGCACTATATGACATGGGTGCACTTACATACATACAGGCAATACATTCATGCATACAAAATAATAAAAATATATTGAAAAAATGTAAAATCTGCTGTGCATGGTACCATGTGCCTTTAATCCCAGCACTCAGGAGGCAGAGGCAGGAGGAGCTCTGTGAGATGGAGGCCAGCCTGGTCTACATAACAAGTTCCAGGCCAGCGGGGGCAATAGGGAGACTTTGTCTCAAAAAGACCAAAAAAATGTAAAAATTGCTTATAGATTCTGAAAGGTAATAGAAAAAGTAAGGTCGTACCTACTGTTGCCTTTTGTTCATGATGTTTTTATTACAAGTATCTTCCTTTTGAACCATTTCAATAAAGCACATAAAAAGAAAAAAATGCTCATCCAGTCTGGAGGGAAGTAATTAATACCTTCTTAGAGGCGACTGTTAGGCTTCCCTACCTCCCATCATTACAGTGGAGCTGAGCCTCAACCTGAGAGTTCTGGCGGTGGGAACAAATCCCACTCTCACAGCATAGCAGGCCTGAGAGAAGAGATGCTGGTCCTTCAGAACACGGTGCTGCAGGACCCACTTCTCCATTCACATTTCACCTTCCTACTCCTGGATAGACTTTCAGTTCAAGTAGCCACCACCCCACAGGGATACCTCAATGAGACATTTCCTGCCAACTCAGCTCCCACCATGACTGACACGGATAACTTCCCTTAGTGCACATAGTTCAAGCTGCAGCAACTTTGTGCAGAAAAAAGCCCGTGACAGCCTATTTTCTCTCACACAGACATCTGTCCTAATAATGTCTATGCATGATTAATCTTAGCAACTGATCCCACAAGCGCCCATTTCCTAAGAAACTTTGGGCCCTTGCACACACACACCCATGGCTTAAGTACAGACAGTTCAGCATCACAGCTGTACATTACAAAAAGAGTGAAAAGCAACAGACTTTCTAGGGGCTCATGCAGTGAAGAAAGGGGAAGAAACTTTCAAAAGAGTGTTGGAAGATGAGTGAGGGGAACAGCCTTCCAAAGACTTCCATGATGCAGTAGGGAGTAGGGGATTCCACGGCTTCAGTAAGGCCAGTGTGTGCATGTATACAGGGTGGTGGCACAGGGGAGCCTGAAGAATGGCATAACACCTCAGAAGCTGAGCCAAAGTCAGGCTTTTCCAAGTAGACAAGGAGTTGTTGAAAGTTCTGGGTGACTACAGGTTTGTCCTTGCCTACACCCCAAAGCTGGAAATTAAACATACATGTTTTTAGGGACAAATTGATCTGTCAAGATGGAAAGGGGCCAGCAAGAAGGTTCAGCTGGTGAAGGCACTTGCCGCCAAGGGTGACAACCTGAGTTCAATACCCAAGATCTACATAGTGGAAGGAGAAGGACCAGCTCCTGCAAACTGTCTTCTGACCTGCACATGCATGTCATGGAACAAATGTGTACACACACATACACACATACACACACACACACACACACACATATGTATATATATATATATGAGTGTGTGTGTGTAATTAAAAAACACAGGACACAAAGTTGGGTGGGTAGGGAAAGGGGTGGGCCTGGGAGGAGCTGGGGAGGAGGGTGAAATATGATCAAAATACAGTGTATGAAATCATCAAAGTATTTTTTCAAAGGGGGAGAACGGAAAGGGCAATTGCCTGATAATTGTCTTTTCACATAGATTTAATGAGGAAGGAGATGACTCTCATTTGTCCCAGGCTGCAGCCAAAGATGACCTTGAATTTTTTAACCTTCCTGCCTCCATCTCCCAATGCTGAGATTACAGACATGGGCTGCCATGCCTGCTTTATGGGTGCTTGGAAAGGGATCAGACACAGGCTAGGCAAGCACTCTACCAACTGACTACATCCGTACCCTTAAAACAGTTTTTCTTAATGATACTAAGCTTTACAACCAAACAACCTTTTTGCTTTATTGTTTTCTTTGCTGCCATGAAAGGGCTTCTGAAATTGAACTTCCCTTATTCCTGAAGCCAGAGTCTAGCAATCAAGCTTGTCCCTCCCTCCCCAGCCAGATCTTTAGGCCTTTCTTCCCCTACCAACAACCTTCTTTTTGCCGAGTCCACACCAGCCTTCAAGAAAATCCTACATGGGCACCAGGTATCAGACAACCCTAGGGCCTTTCACACAGCAGCAGGCCCAGGAAGAGGAGCATAATAAAACCCCTGTAAGCCTCTCCCTGCAGAGACCTGGGGCCTCAGCGGTCACGCCAGAGTCCAAGAAATGAGCCTTTGATTTCAAATCAAAGAAAGTAGGCTGGAGAGAAGCTTTAGTGGTTAAGAGTATGTACTGTTCTTGCAGAGGACCCAAGTTTGATTCCCAGTACCCACTTCAGGCAGCTCACAAATCCAGCTCCAGGGGATCCAGTGCCTCTGACTTCCACGGGTGCCTGCACTCATGTGTACACAGACATTTAACTAAAAAAGACTGTAAAGGACAATTCTGGAAGCCCTAGGGAAAGCTTCCCGGTCTCTGACACCAGCAGGGCCTGCAAGGCATTAGTGCCGAGCTCTTTCTCTTGGTGAGAAACAGGTGATTTCCTCAGTGTTCAAAGCAGTAAACATATTCCAGAGGCAAAGAGAAATAAACAGAGTCGGTTTTCTCACTCTGCATAAGCTCTGGCAGATTTTAAATGATAGTTGAACTGAGGGAACATACTCTGGCTACGTTTCCACCAGCTCTGATAGCTGACTAAACAAGCAGGTGTGCTCTCAGTAAGATCCCACACCAAGTACTGGTGTGACCAGGAGCATCAGGCCACCAAGAAACTGGTTACAAGAGACCATCTTTACATATGTAATCCCAGCACTCTGGAGACTGAGGGAGCAGATCAAAATGATGGCACATGCCCTTAATCCTAGCACTTGGGGGAGCAAAGGCGGATGGCTCTCTGTAAGATTGAGGTCAGCCTGCTCTACATAGGGAGTTCCAGACCAGCTGGGGCTACAAGGAGGCCCTGTCTCAAACAAAACAGAACAAAAAAAGAATTTGAAGCCAATCTAGACCACAAGTGAGTTCCCGGCTAGCCTCGGCTACACAGCAAGGCCATGTCTGCAAGGAGAGACAGAGATAAAGGTAACTGAGAAAGAGAGAAGAAAAGAAAGAAACCATCTTTGACCTCTCCCTCTCTACTACCTCGGAAACAGCAAAGTTTTATCAAGCAGTGTTCTGTGCATATTTGTTTGCTTGAGACAACTTTGCTATCTATGTAGCCAAGCTGGCCTCCAACCAGCCATCCTCCTGCCTCAGCCTCCTGAGTGCCAGGATTTACAGGCATCCACCACCACTCAGCCAGGCTTGTTCTGTGCTTTAAAACGGCCGTTTGAAGCAAGCATTTAACTGAAAAGCCTTCAGTTGTGAGGAGTCTGCAGCTTTAAGAAGGGGTCCTAAGGAAGAGTGGGCTGCATCGCTGAAGGGACTATATTGCTCCACAGACATCCCAAGATCCTCACCCAACGTGACCCCTTTCCTCAGCCTCTCTCAACCTCCGCTTCTTCCTGGAACTCTTAGGCCCAAACGGATTTCCTCACTGAGCCGCCTAGATCTCCCTTCCTTATGGATCCTTTTGACGCCACCAGTCTCCAGCAGTCCCCTCTCCATCCCAGCCTGCATACCTAAAACCCTTGGATAGTCTCCAGTACCCACCCCTGAGCCTGGTCTTCAGCCCTAGCAACCCGACCCCCTCCAGGCCTGACAAAGGCGACCTAAGGCCCACCGCCTTCTCCAGGCCCCATCCCCATCCCTGCGCGGCTCAGGCGTCCTCACTGTCAGGCCCCACCAGCAGCAGTGGCTGGACATTCTTGCCCTTGTCGTGCCAGCACACGTCGAAGAAGGGGTACACCGGCCCGGGCAGGCGCTCGTGGAAAGCAAAGAGCAGCACAAGCGCGTCAGCGTCACTGGCGTCATAGAAAGAGAGGACGCCGTCACAGAAGCTGAGGTAGAGGCCCACGCGCGATGGCCGCCTCTCCGGGGTGCGCAATGCACGCGGCTCCTTGGCCTCCACGTGCGCCTCCAGGATCTTGCCCTCTCGCAGGCCGAGCAGCCACAGGCCCTGGGAGGGGACCGCGTGCAGCCGGCCACGGCGGGGCGCGTCGGCCGCCATCACGCCCAGGGCCCAGCGCGGCTTGTCGCCCACCTCCACTTCCCAGTAGTGCTCGCCTTCCGCGAGCAGCTGCTGTGCCACCACTGCCACCGCTTTGTCGAACTGGCGTATGTCCTCTCCCGCGGGTGGTGCCTTCTGCTCTGAGCACTCCACGCGGCGGCCCGAAGGAGACACCACCAGGCTTGGGTGCGCAGAGCTGGGGTCAAAAGTCAGTTCCTCCAGTGCTGCCAGAGACACAATAGTGAAACCTCCTCTCAACCAACTTAAGGACCACCCTTGTCTCCTCTCACCCTCCCTACATGTGTGAAAGGTGGACCCCCTCTCTGCTTTCTGGCCAAAGACCACTTCTCTCCAAGCTCCCAGCCACAAGCCCCCAGTCTGACCCAGGCTGGACCCTGGGGTTCCGGGAACTCTGCAGACCAGCCTCCAGTTAGCAGGAATCTTCTCTATGGCCAAGGCTCACACAACAGCCACAGCAGCACTCCTGAGGCCAGCAGAGTTCTTTGCGCATCATTCACCACTATAAACTCCATGCCAGAGGTCTTCCTCCAAGCCCAAGTTAGAGGGCTACAAGGAGGAAAGAAGTAAAAGGTGCCTCAAAAAAAAAAAAAAAATGTGCCTTCTATGGCTTTCTGGGTTGGGGTTGGCACACCTCTGTGTCTTGAACGTCCCACCAAGTCCACAGTTAAACCCAGGGCCACCCCTCTCAGTACCTGGCATCAGTGCCCGGAACATCTTCCTCCACACCTGGAATTTGAAGTCATCTGAAATGACAGGCAGCTGGATGTCCAGACGGGCCGGTGGTGGTGACTCTGACAGGATCTTCTGCAGCCTGGGGGTGGAGAGGTAATGGGGAGAGGGGGGCAAAGGAACTACCCCAAGAATAAGAGGACACCGGTTGTTGGGGTTCTGAGACCTCCCCACATCACACCCCTGCCTTAAACTCTTTCATTGGAGTTTTCATTTGGGAATAAGGGAAATTTCTAGAAATGAATGGAGGTGATGGTTATATGATGTGAATGTATTTAATGCAACTGAATAGAAAATGTACATTTTAAATTTTTTAAGCCAGGTATGATGCTGCATGCCAATAATCCCAACATCTGAGAGGCTAAGGACAGACAGATCAGTAGTTCCATCCCTAAGGCCAGCCTGGGGTCTTCCACCCGTCTATGCTTACAGTGCTATCCCCCTGGTCCTATCCATTCCTCTAGGATCCATCTCCAATGTCTCCTCCTCTGCAAAGCTTCCTCTGGCTGTCCCTTTCCCTCCCCAGCAGTCTTGAAATGATACCTGTGACCTGCCCACATCTGCCTTATAGCACCCATCTGTGAGGTTTCCAGGGGTAAGGACCAGCTCTGGTCCATTTCTGTGTTCAACACAAAGTACACAGAGATGGTTGCAAGCGGACTGGGGTGAAATGCATGTTGTGAGCAGAGGGACAGCCAGCTAGTGTGCCTGAAAGACTCAGCAAAAGAAAGTCAGCAGATCTCACCTGCTGGTCACCAGGCAGTATTTCTGGAGAAAGAGAAAACAAAAATGGAGATAAGCAGAGGGATAAAGCAGGGCGAATTCTGGGGAGTTCTGGGAATGAGGAGGACAGCCAAGCATGATGCGCATAGGGCCAGTAAGATCAGAAAGCCAGGGCTCAAGGCCTCCATAGGACATTTACTTTCCCATGAGTAGGAAAACGTGCCCCTCTTCACCCCAGAAATTCATATTCACCTGCTAGAAAACTATCCTAATAAATACAGAAGCCTGTAATGTCTGTGACATGACTGGTACCACTAGACACCCTACTTTAAACACTATTTTGAACAACGTTCAGAGGCCCAACCCAGATATGAAACCTTGGCTCGTCCCTTCACCTCTGTGGGCTTCAGGGTACCCATATGAAAACAGGATGAGGTCTCTGGAGCCTGAGCCATGGCCAAGAGGCAGTGAAGGGAAGCACTCACCATCAGGAACTCTGTCTGTGGCTTATCGGCCACCTCCTCCAGCACCTTTTCCATCTGCCGCAGTTGCTCCAGGTAAGAGTTCAGGCTTGCCAGCTCCCGCCTCAAGGCAACCCCAGCCTCACCCCGAACTCGTTCTGCTTCACGATCCAGAGAGCTTTCTAGTGCAGCCAGGAACACCCGCATCTTCCCTAACTGCTCCCCAACAGCTCCCCGGAAGTGACGCACTGTCTCCTGGAATGATGAGAAGATTCTTGCCTGGGGATCCTCAGCCTGGACCGAGAGTCCCAAGGCTCTGCCTCCCTCACCCCCTCACCTCCACCTCTACCAGCTGATGCTCCAGCACAGCCACACTCTTCTCCTTGCGCATACAAGCCTCCTGCAGCTGCAGCTTCTGTTGTGGGAGCTGTGTCTAAGGGAAAGAGTACAAGAAATTATAGGGATGCCACCCCCAAACCATAAACACCCCTAATCCTGCCATCTATAGTTTCCGCTCAATGCCAGCTCCTTTGCCAGCCTTCTTCTTAGTCCCAAATCCATTGCATATCTCCAGGCCTTGGCCATACTTTTCCTAAAGTCTAAGTGCCTTTGGTTTTCTTGGTCTATTTCCTTAACTCTTCAAGGCCTTACTTTCCCTAACCTCACCCCTCAGCAGTCAGCCCCAGCACAGGTCTTTGCAAGGACCACAAACACAAATGCAGTTTCGTGCCCCCCACCCCATACAAGTATAGCACTTGACATTCAGCAGGCTCCCAGTAATGAGTGAAGAATGCATGAAAAGAGAAATGAAGCTGGGTGCAGTAGTACATGTCTGTAACCCCAGCACTCAAAGGGCTGAGGCAGGGGGATCACAGGTTTGAGGCCAGCCTAATCCGTATAACAGCTTTCAGGCCAGCCTGGACTACATAAACTAAACATCAATCATAGTCAACCTCGTCTGACTGCTGGTATTTGCTGAGGAATACTCAACCAGGGGAAGCCACAAGACTGCACCATCGGCTCCTGGCTGACAGATCAGTCTCCTCCCAAGAAACCCTCTCTTGAGGTGTCCCCGCCCTCTGTGGGCCAGGCTGAGCCTGTCTCTCGAAACGCCCGCAGTCCCAGGTTCAGAGGTCGCAGGGCTGAGCCATGGCAAACAAGCGCGACGCCATCCTGGAGGCACTGGAGAACCTCACTAAAGAGGAGTTCAAGAAGTTCAAGCTGAAGCTGGGCCTGGTGCCGCTCCGCCAGGGCTTTCGGCGCATCCCTCGGGGGACCCTTGAGCTGGTGGATGCCATTGACCTCACCGACAGGCTGGTTGCGTTCTACTGCGAGGACTACGGCGCCGAACTCACAGCAACGGTCCTGCAGGACATGGGCATGCAGGAGCTGGCCGCACAGCTTCGGGCGGTTGCGTGAGCCCCCAACCCGGGGAATCCATTCAAGCACTCCGAGTCTGGTATGTGGGTGACTGACCCAACCTCTCTAACTTGTCAAAGTCGCAGGCATCAAACAGGCCCCAGACCTTCCGTCCTCCCCCTCCTCCTTCAGGCTTGTTTCTAGGGTCTCCCTCTTCAGACCCGAGGCTCAGGGCTGGGCTGATGCGGATCACTGCAGACTGGACCTCCGCATCTGCCCCTTGGAAGTTTCGCTTTCATTTCTCAAGTTCTGTTCTCTCTTCACAGATTACTATGATGAGCAAGGCTTGGCGTTCTGGGGTCCTCTGCAGAGGGGAGCCTGGGTTGAGCGGCTCCGGGCAGGAGGCCGCTGCCCTATGCTGGGGGACCACAGCCAGAATTGGGCTGGACTAAGCAATACAGGAGCAAGAGACACGACTGTGAGACTGGACCCTAGGAAAGTCCGGGAGGCTGGACTATCGACCGGACTGTGATCTACCCTCTCCAGAGAGCGACTGGTGAGAGCAGCAAAGCGGTGAAAGTAGATCTGCGCGGGCGGTCGCAGGAGACCCAAGCTGCAGCTTCCCGCTCCCGGGAGAACCGCCCCTAGCCTCCTCCTCCCTCCCTCCCTCCCTCGTCTCTGCACCTGTTGTTTGCTTTTCCATAGCCCAATAAATAATAACTGACGTTCCTGCACTACTTGGACACTTGTCTGCCGGTGCCTGCGTGCGTGTGAGTTCTCGCCTGCACACCACATAACTGATGTGTGCCTGCGTGTCCATTCGCCTGTGACTGGGTGTTTTTCCTGGCGCGGGTGAGGACCGTAAACCTCCGGGGTCACACAACTTCCAACTCCAACTAGAAACCAGCCTGGACTACAGTCTCGGGCTGCTGTGAGCCTAGGCCAGGCGTGCCCGCCTCCTGCAGCTGCATCTTCCCTTTGCGTTAGGGATCCTGTTCCTAACCTCAGCGGATTAGTGGGCGGCAGCCAGGCAGCTGTGCTCAGAGGGACAGCGGGGTCCCCGGACCCTGGACACGCCTCTGCCTTCTAGTTTCAAGGGATCCCCACCATGCATATTTTCTGGTCCAGCAGACCCGCCCGGTTCGTCCACTCCCAGTCCGCCCGGTACAGACCCTGCTCAGATCCGGCTCGGGTACTCCCATAGTGGCCGCGGGTCAAAGAGCACCGCACAGCGCTGCTCCCCACCTGCGCCGGCGCAGTTCCTCCCGGCTGTACTCAGCCGGGCACTGCGGGCGGCTCCGAGGGCTCGGTCGCTGGCTGCCTAGCCCCGCCCACTCTCCTTAGCATCCCCAGGCACCTTCTATCCTCCGAAGCTTATAATCCAAATCAACGCAGCCACATATCTTCCCGTGGGCCAGACCCCGCTGTTGAACAACCCCATCCCACCCCGACCCCTGCTGGGCCCCACACCTTGAGGCGCGCGTGGGCCTCCGCGGCCGGCAGCAGCCTGTGGCCGCGGTGCGAACCCAGCGAGGCACACACGCCGCACACAAGTGTGCGGTCCTGCTCGCAGTAGATGCTCAGTGGATCTAGGTGTTCCTCGCAGTGGCCTTGGGGCACTTGCGCCAGACTCTCCACGAGGCGTGCCAGCTGCAGGTTAGTGCTGAGCGCCTGCGGCCGCGTGGGTGCCTGACAGCAGGGACAGGGCACCGTGCCATCCCCCGCAGGCTCGCCGGCCACGCGGCCCAGGCAGGCACGGCAGAAACTGTGGCCACACTCAGCGGTCACTGGCGCGTCGAACAGCAGCAGGCACAGAGGGCAGGATAGCTCCTGGTGCAGAAGGCGCGGTGCAGCCGACATCGCGAGCCTGGGAGAAGAAGTCGCTCAGAGACCCAAAAGCTCCAGCTCAATCCCAAACTGAGTTATCAGCCCTTAGCTGGAGCCCCAGCCTATCCCATACTGAAAGAAACGACCTCCCATCCCATTCTGAAACTCTAGTTATGGCCGAGTGGTAAAGGGAATTTAGTATCGTCAAAGGCAGTCTATATTGCCATTCTCAATCCTGATCAACAACAGGTCAGATCTCAAATACCAGCCCCAGTTCTAAACACAAGTGCAGGTTCCAAACAGTCTTGCCCTCTGTCTTTGCTCCTGCTTTAGCCCAGGCCTTAGCCTCAACTCCTATCTTCAATTATCTAAAAGACCCTCTTCCAACTGTCCTCTCACCATGCCCAGCCCTTTCTTCCCCCATATGTCCAGGCCCACAGGACTCACAGGTTTGGTAGGAGATCTTAGGGCAAAAAAGAACCACAGAAGGACCAGCCAGAGACAGGCCTAACAGCACGGTGAGCAAAGACGTGTCCAAATACAAGCAAGAAACAGTCTCAGTGCAAGGGCAGGCGGTCAGGATCATCTGGCAGGGGATAGAAACTCCAGCGATGGACAACACACAGTGAACAGAGAACTGACCCGCCCAGATGAGTTCTATGTCCCAAGAACTATATTTAGCTTCCCTACCCATTCCCTCCTATCACTTCTGGAAACTGTTCTAAAATAGAGGACTGTACAGTCAGCAGACAAGCATCTGGTGTCCAGGCCACCTGTCCTGGCCTGTCTACTGTCCTCTCCTCTGGTCAGGAGGGAACCAGCATAGAGTCAGTGGAGAAACAGGATCTCCTACACCACAGGGAGGACCAACAATGGAGAAGGGGTTTCCCCCTTTTTCCTTATTCCCACTTCCAAACTCTCTGGATTTCTTCATCCTTGTCTACAGTTAGTTAACCCATTCATTTCCCAAGTTTGCTGCTCTTCAAATCACAGACAGTACTGTGCCCACCTGTGGGAAGGTAGGAACTTCTCAAACCCTGAAAAGTTTTCTTCTTCCAGAGTTGAGAGGAGCATGTTTTCTCCATAGTTCCCAGCACAAGCCCTGAAACAAAATGTCCCCTTTAAAATTTTTGCTCAGAGAGGAGCTGGAGAGATGGTCCAGTGGTTAAGTGCTGACTGCACTTGCAGAGGACCTGCATTTGTTTCCCAGCACCCACATGGTGGCTAACAATGTTCTTCACTCCAGTTCCAGGGGATTCAACACCCTCTTCTGGCCTCCATGGGCAGTGCACATACATGGTACACTTACATACATGCAGGCCAAACACCCATACACATAAAATTTTTTAAATTATTAAAATTTAACAAAAAATGCTCAGAGAATGAATGAATAAATTAACAGAGTCCAGAGTCTGCAGCCCACAGCTCAAACTTGCCCTGGCCACCCCAGGCCTTCCTATATGCTTATCTTTCAAGCATCAATATAAATTTCATCCAGAATAAAGATCAAAGTCCTTGTAGCCTACAATTTTTAACTAACCTGACCCCATCCATTGCTCTGACCTGATTCTCACCCCTCTTCCTCCTTGCTCGAGGACTTTGCACTTGCCACCCCTCCACCTGGAGTGCTCGTTCAACCCCAGGTATTGCATGGTGTTTTCCGTTTCTGTCTCTGATTAGTATTTAATATCAAGCTTTCAGTGAGGCCTTTTCAAACTCTGTTTTTTCTTTTTTTAATTTCAGGGTTTCATTGTGTTGCACTATAGGAACAAGGTGGTTATAACAATATTCTCTCAGTCTGCCTTAAAAATCTGAGGTACTTGCAGGGTTATTTTTTCTTTAATTGATTTAGTTGTTCTCGTTGTTTTGACATAGTCTCGCTGTGTATCCAGGCTTAAATCTGTGCTCCTTGGAACTGGAGAGATGGTGCAGTGGTTAAGAGTGCTGGCTGCTCTTGCAGAGGCCCCTGGTTTGATTCCCAGCACCCACATGGCGGCTAACAACCATCTGTAAAGCCAGTTCCAAGAGATCCAGCGCCCTCTTCTGACCTCTGCAGGCACTGCCTGACACAGGTGCACTTACACACATGCAGGTAATACATTCATACACAAAAATTTTTTTAAAGAGCTGGGTATGGTGATGCACATCTTTAATCCCAGTGCTTGGGAGGCAGAGGCACATAGATCTCTGTGAGATCAAGGCCAGCCTGGTCTACATAGCAAGTTCCAGGACAGCTGTGGCTACAGGGAGACCCCTGTCTCAAAAACAAACAAACAAATTAATTAAAGTAAGAAGCTAGGGTATGGTGACTCATACCTGGGAAGCTGAGGCAAGAGGATCAGGAGTACAAAGCCTTAACTACATGAGACCCTTTCTAGAAAAGAAATTAAAGTAAAGCTATTATAGTTTACATCTATAATCCCCACTGCTCAGGATTGATTAATTAATAGTAATAATAGCCAGGTGTGGTGGTGCATGCCTTTAATCCCAGCACTTGGGAGGCAGAGGCAGGCAGATCTTTGTGAGTTCGAGGCCAGCCTGGTCTACATAGTGAGTTCCAGGACAGCTGGGGCTACAAGGAGACCCTGTCTCAAAAAGACAAAAATAAAATTAATAGTAATAATAAAAATAATAAATTTACCATATACTAGAGACTAGCATTGACGTCCTGATCCTCCTGCCTCCATCTGCTGAGGGCTTGGATCACATACAATCACTACCATGTCCAGATTTAAATCAGGTATGTTTTTCTCATGAACACCTAGGAAATCTCTCATTCGTGAAACAAAAGCAGTTGTCTCAGTTCCTCACTTCCAAGATGACACAATAAAAGAAGAAACAACAGTCTGACCACAAAGGGTCTCATTAGGAGATGGGAGAGATGACTTGGCTAAGTTAAGAGCACTTGCTGCTCATCCAAAGGACCCAAATTCAGTTCCTAGCACCCACATCAGAAGATTAACAATTGCTTTAACTCCAGCTCCAGGGGCTCCTTTCCCCTTTTCTGGCCTGTGGGCACAGATACACACATACAGATAAATTAAAAATATTTTTAAAGGGGGCGCACAGCAACACACTCTGTTTTACAAACCGTGCCTTGTTTGTGCTCAAAGAAACGTCATTTGGAACATATAAGGGGTCACATACATCAAGAACTTTCCTGAAGTGAGGGTCTTTGATGCTTATGTGCTTCCCAAGCACTATGTAAAGCTGCATTACTGCTGCCTGAGGTGTACCATTTGCAGCAAAGTATACAGGAATGGATCTCACAAAGCCCCTGACCTCTACCACAGCCCACATAAAGAACTGTTTTCTGGGGGAAATCAAATAGAATGGAAACTATACTTTTAAAAAAATAATATTCAAGTTGAAGGGGAATAATCTCTCTCTTCATTGTAAATATATTCATATATAATTATGTACATGATAAGTGAAGAAACCTAGAAAGTTCCCCACAAGTCATAAAACCAGATGACAATTCTTGTTTGTTTTCTTGTTTTATGGGGTTTTGCTATTGTTGTTGTTGTTCTGTTTTGTTTTGGGGTTTGTGAGGTGGGAGGTTGGGAGGAAGTTGTTTTTGGTTTTTGGTATTTGGTTTTTGGTGTTTTTGGTCTTTTTGAGACAGGGTCTCTCTGTAGCCACATCTGGCCTGGAACTCACTATGGAAACCAGGCTGACGACCTCCATCTCACAGAGATTTGCCTCTGCCTCTGAGTGCTGGGATTAAAGATGTGTGCCACCACATTTGCCTGTTTTCTTGTTTGCTTTGCTGTAAACACACACACACACACACACACACACACACACACAATGTTTTTTCTCATTATAAGTGCACCATGTGCATGCAATGCCCACAGAGGCCATAAGAGAGCATCAGATCACCCTGGCACTGGAGTTACAGATGGTTGTTAGCTGCCATGTGGGTGCTAGGAACTGAACCCAGGTACTCTGCAGGAGCAGCCAGTGCTCTTAACCTCTTAACTACTGGGCCATCTCTCTAGTCCCTGTTTTTGAGTCAGGATCTCAAAAGTAGCAAAGGCTGGCATGGAACATTTAATCCCCAGTTCAACTTCTTAAGTGCTATAATTTCAGGTATGTGCCACCAGACCTGCCTAATCATATAGCATTTCCTGTTTTGTTGTGTTGTAAGGTATGTTTTGTTTTGTGTTGTGATAAGGTCAATGTAGCCCAGGCCAACCTTAAACTTGCTATGTAGTAAAGACCAGTCTTAAATTTCTGACCCTTCTGCCTCTAATTTTCTAGGGCGAAGATTGCAGGCCTGTACCACAATGCCCAGTTTATGTCATTCCAATAAAGCTAAACTAAGCCTATAAGTTCCTGTAAGCAGTTTCCTCCAGTGGACTAAGGACAGTTAATAATTAGTATAGATTATGAAGATTATAGTTGTTCCTTAAGAAATGTAAATTCCAGCACTTGGGAGGCAGAGGCAGGCAGATCTCTATTAATTCGAGGCCAGCCTGGTCTCCACAGTGAATCCAGGCCAGCTGTGGCCACAGGGAGACCCTGTCTCAAAAAAAAGAACTCCCCCCAAAAAAGAAATATAAGTTTAAGTCCCTTAATATCAGACATAATATTGTATACACAATTCTATTTAACTTTTGTTTCCCTCTTGTGGTGTTGGGGATAAAATCTAGGGTCTTACACATGCTAGGAAAGTGCTCTAACACTGAGCTACCTTCCTAGCCTGTTTGGGTTTTTTTGGTTTTTGGTTTTTGTTTTTTTTTCTTGATCCTGTGAGACAGGGTCTCAATACCTTGCCAAACTGACCTGGAATTTATGACCCTTCTGCCTCCATATTTCAAGTACTGAGATTACAGGCATTGTACTCCAGGACTGATTTGTTGTTTTGAGATACAGTCAGTTCTTGCTGCTCAGATTGTAAATCAAAATCATCTTGCCTCAGCCTCCCCAGTAGTTATGATCAGAGGTGAACCCACCTGACAACCCCCTGATTCTAAATCTCATAATCCCCCCAAACCTCCCTTCTTTTTCTGCATAACATTTACCACCAACTAGCATGAAATACATTTGACTTGTCTGTTGGTTTATTGTCTGTCTCCTGCCAGAATATAATTTTTCATGTTTGTCTCTACCTTAGAATAA